CTGTCCCCCTATGGCAGCCACCAGGCACAGGGCACTACTGAGCACTTGAAATGTGGCTAGTGTGATGCAGGAACTGAATTTTTAGCTTTATTTAATTCTAATTAATGATTATATGTAAGTAGCCATGTGGCTGGTGGCTCCTGCACTGGCGAATGCAGGCCTAGACATTTCAAGCAAGGACCAAGCCCTGGGCACTGGCCTCATGACATGGATTACTCACTGTGCCAACTGCCCCCTGCACCAGACACTCATAAAACACAGTTAATTTCCGCAGAGCTGACACAGGTAGCTTTCAAGTGGTGTTGGAGTGGCTCAGCACAGAGAAGCTGGCAAAACGCACACATAAAAGGCATAACGAGGCACCGTCTGCAGAAACTGCGATGCTTTATGGGCCTCCGTCTGCGACAAAACCCATCACAGGGCAGGTTCATCCCTCGGTGACCAGAGTTAATTGAAAATTTAAGACCCAATCAAATCACCCAGAATTGAGATTTTTGGCAGCTTATGTGCTTCACTGTAAGATTCCTGCTGCTTTTGCCTCTGCCAATCCTACAAGTGAGGCAGTGTGTTCTAATACCGTCCACAACCACACCATGCTTTAAGCTAGGGATAAACATGACAGTATTAACTGAGATCTTGTTGTTTTGTATGACAGTATTAACCGTGATCCTGTTGTTTTGTTTTTGCTTTTAATGCACATGATGTTCTTCCTGTCTAAGCCACCAGGCAGATGTGGGCCAACACCCACTTGTATTTGCTTAAACCAGGTGTCCTCAAACTATGGCCCGCAGGCCACATGCAGCCCGCCTAAGACATTTATCCGGCCACCGCCGCTGCCTGTCCTGCTTAGCAGCCGACTCGTCCTAGGGCCCACAGTCTGGCCCTCCAACGGTGTGAGGGACAGTGAACTGGCCCCCTGTTTAAAAAGTTTGAGGACCCCTGGCTTAAAGGTTGAATAAGCATCTTCTTTACGAAAACTAAGTATATCAAATGCCACCTGGAAATCTTCTACAGCCAAAACCACATGGAAGAGGAATATCTGTATGCCCTTCTCTGTAACACAAGTTTTCTAACAATGGCATTCAATGGGTATTAACCCCTATTTGCCTAGCATCTTGCAGTCTAATCTAACATCACTAGAGATATGGTGCCCAAGATTCTAGAATTCTGTTTCAATTCTGCCCTTGTCGCCCGCAGTACTGCATCTTTGGGCAAGTTAGCCAACCCTTTCTGAGCATCCATTTCCTCATCTGCAAGAAGAAAATATGGGTACACTGCAAAAATGTACCCACGTCCCTCCCAGAGTGACGGCGAGGATAAAACGATTTAAGAAGCCAAACAAAGGCAAGTGTTCATAGCACTTACTTTGTCATGGCCAAACCTGAAAACAATTCAAGTTATTCATTTTTTTCCATTCAGATGAATGGAAAAACAAACTGCAGTACATCCATACAGTAGACTACGACTCGGCAATGAAACAGGGATGAACAAAAATTTTGTAAAGGAATCTCCAAACCAGTAAGCTGGGTGAGTGAAAAAAGCCAGACCACAGAGGAGTCCACGCTCTGCAATTCCATTTAAATAAAAGTCTAGAAAATAAAATCAGCGACAGAACGCAGATCAGTGGTTGTCTGAGGGTGGTGGGCTGGAAAATAAAAAGGAACCATGAAGAGACTTGGGAAAACTTTTCGGGTGACGGAAATTATTCTGCACATGGTGATGGTTTCATGAGTTTGAACACTTTATGCCCACAGCAATGTGCTTTAATTGTATTTCTAGAAATTTCGAAAGTTAGGAAAAAACTGAGATCAGGAATATAAATCATATCCTGTCACAGAAGCTGGCACACAGTAGGCCCTCAACAAATGTTTGCTCCATTCTGAACAATAACAAATGATCTCCTGAGAACGGGTGGGAAAAAACGTGAGGCTGCCAGGAAAAGGGTTTACTAGGACCCAACTATGTAGACAGGCCCTTCTTGGCTAGAAAACAGAAAGATGAACAAGGCTCGGGTTTTTCCCTGAAGGAAACACAAATAGTTTTAATATATGAGGTAATAAAAGTGTCAAAAGTATGGTATTGACAAACTACAGGCAGGAAGAAGAAAGTAATTTTGATGAGACGGTTGTCAAGGAGGTGGGTCCCCTTCCAGGTGGGTGGGATTCTGACAAGCAGTAAGGGGCACGGGGGTATGTCACACACACGGCCCTTCAGGGGACAAGTAGGAGAGAGGCCACAGAGCACAGCTTGGACTTCAACTTCACTTATTCAGGGGAACTCGCCACAGAGCTGTGCATAATCAGATGTGTGTTTTACAAAAACAGATCCTATCTGGAGGGCAATCTGGCGACTTATCAACCAAGAGTCTTGACATTCGCATCCCTCAACTCAGTAATTCCCGAGGAAATAGTCAGAAATGTGCCCAAAGATTTATGTACAACATCACTTATCACAACATTATTTATAATAGCCCAAAGCCTGAAATAACTGAAATATCCAATAAAAGGGGGCTGCTAAATAAATTATGGTACTCTAAGCGATTAAATCATATACGGCCATTAAGTCATACTCTCAGAGCATATGGACGGCAGGGTGCACGCCTCACTAAGTCGCAAAAAAGCAGGATACAAAAATATATGCTGAGTATTCATTCGACAAATATTTATTGATTATGTAGAAAGTGCTGGGCACTGTTTGTAAGCACAGAGGGTACTACAGAGAACGAAACAGAGAAAATCCCTGTGCTCCTGGGAAGAGATTCTGACCGCTGGTGAAGGAAGGCAGACAAACAAGAAAACAAATAGCAATAAGCAAAATGAACAGCATGCCACATGGTAAGGAGAAAACTAAGGAGAGAAATATCTGGGGAGCTGGGGGAAGGTAGAAATGTTCAATAGGTGGCCAGGGAAAGTTTCGGGGAGAAGGGGGCAAGGAGATGGGCTCAAGGGTTGCCAGGGAGGACTCCCAGGCAGAGGAACAGACAATATATAAACTCTGAGCCCAGTGTGTTTGAGATAGCAAGGCCCGAGTGGCAGAACGCCAAAGACAAATGGAAGGAGAATGAAGGCAAAGGGAGCTTGTGCCACTCGCCGGGTGGGGAAAGCCACGAAGGGCTCTGAGCAGAGGAGCGGTGGAACCTGTGGGAACACGCGGGCAGGGCAGGGGCCCAGGTGGGTTTTCTGCAATCCTGTCCCAGCTCTTTATAATGGGCATGCATTCATCTAAGCAGAAAGCAAAAGATAATTCCAGCAAGGAAAACACAATGCAGAAAAGTAGTGTGGATGATACAACCACAGGGACAGGGAAACAAATAAGGAGGTTAGAGAAAAAGGTCAGATGACAGGGATGCAGCAGGGGAGTGTAAAGACAGCACGTGTTAACAGAGGCTTGACGAGCAAAATTACTCTCTGTGCTAATAAAAGAAAATAACCACGAACCCCACCCTCAAAAAAAGTTAAATGAGAGAAAAAGAGCTCCCTCATAATCTCAGCATCCTAACAATCAATGACTTAACATCATGGTGTATCTCCCTTCCACCTTTTTTTCTAGACATGCTTTTATTTTTTTCCTTAATCATCTTACAATACCCAGCACATCACAGGCATCCAAATAGTCACTGAACAAATAAACAGACGGCCAAATGCTCCCAATAATTTTGTGTTACTTTAGCTATGTTGTTAGTCACAATTTTAATGGGCTTGGGTGATGGAATGGCAGTGGTGGACAGGGAGAAGGCAGGATAACAGATGTCTGGCCATTTAAGAAGATGGCAGTGACATGATTCGAGGGCACCAGAAGGAAGCAGTGTGAGGAGGAAGAGCCTCAGAACAGGCATGGCAGCAGGAGGAATGGCAGCTGAGGAGGAGGTGGAGGAAGAGCATAAGCAGCCAACCCCAGGCCAGACCCCATGCTAAGAGCTTGACGCATGTCCCATCTTCTGTTGTTTGCTACTGCCCCATGAGTGGACACTCACATGCTCATATTACAAATGAGCACACTTCAGTCCTGAGAGGCTCCGTAACTTACCCAGTTACCCCACAGCAGATCCAGGACTCCAAACCACCAGTGTGAGGGTTTTTCCTACTCATTCTCCTTTCTGCTCACAGACACTTAGAATATGCCCAGAATCGGGGAGAAAGTATCTAAAGATGCCTTACTTAGGTAGTGTCCAATTTTTGCTCTCAGCTTACTGGGGCCCAATAGGAACAGCACCCTCTTCCTCTTCCAGAAATACATTTTACATATTTTCCAACTGACAATTTTAGCCTGTTGAGTTTTTTCCTTTTCACATGAATGAATCTTCTCTCCCTGACCAGGTAAAAAGCTCCAGGACACCAGGACATGCCTCACAACCGTCCCCTAGCACACAGTAGGTGCTCAGCAAATGCTCTGGATGATGTTGACCATCCCTTGCCAGTCACACCAGGGCCAGACCCTGGACACTGGTAGTGGCAGGTAACCCAATTCCCTCTGTCTCAGGAAAGGTGAGGCTGAGCCCAGAGGGACAACCCCTCTTGAAAGAGGGCAGATAACAGACAGGGAAATTGGCTGATTCACACAAGAGAGAAGGCAAACCCTTTTTTCCCATGGGGCTTGCTATGAAACCGAGCCTGCAGACTGATTGACCCAGGGGCCAAATCTAGCATTATCCACGTGTACTGCTTGGCTCACGTGTTTTTCATTTATTAAAATTTTCATTAGTTGGGCAGCTCCTGTGGTTCAAAGGAGTAGGGTGCTGGTCCCATGTGCCAGAGGTGGCGGGTTCAAACCCAGCCCCAGCCAAAAATGGCAAAAAAAAAGAATTTTCATTTTTAAAAAGTGAGAGTGGATTTTTTAAATGCAAATTTAAAAAATATGGATTTGGAGAAGCTGTTCCCTTGAGCCAGACCGCCCTTTCCAGGTTCCCACAGGTGCCCACCCACCTCCTCTCCAGCTCTGCCCCTAGCCGGCCCTCGGCACTGAGCCGGAGCCCCAAGACCCTGCCTGCCCCGTGTACTCACCAGCACTCAGAGTCGTGAACTCCAGGAAGCGGTATTCATAGGACACATCTATCTTGGTTTCCACCTGAGGTCTCTTCAAAGTTGAATAAATATTCCCAGGCCGTTTTTCATCCCGTTTCTCTAACTTGTTCAATCCGCAACCCATTTCAGCAGCTGCCAGCAAAGGGAAAAAGGGGGGGATGATTTTTTTTCTGAGATGTTGTTTTTAACACCACAGTATAAAAGATGCCATAATTTTCCTGAATACATAAAGGACTTCAGCCTTTATGAAATCGAGAGTATAATTTAATATATGACCTAAACACAGAGGACTACGCTCAGTATCCAGGCTGGCTTTTCTTGCTGTTAAGACACCATTCCTAGCCATCCTGTGATTTTTAAATGACACCCAAAGCACACCTGTTTTATATCTTTTTCCCCCTAGCTGAAGAAAATAATACCTCCAAGTGCCTCAGTTCCACTATAATCTGGTATACATGATTAAAAAATGTGATCTAAAAAGCAATACGGTGCATTACGGTGTCAGCCCATCTGTAAAAATCCAAGAGATGTGTCACCTTCGCCGTGGTTGCTAAGAGGGAATAAGTTGTTTTTATAATTTCCAAACTCCACAGTCCTTTCTACCCTCAACAGTAATTATTTAGACAGGAAATTTATATTCATAAAACATCTCTAAAAGTAGATGGTGGTATTTTTATGGACCTTGTCTAAAAGTCCCCCTTTTCTTCTTTTTCACACCAAACCGCAGGAAATAACAGTATGCTTCCATGCTCTCAGAGTCATTTTAGACCAGAATGAAGACTGACTGAACACTAATAGCAGGGCTCAAGAAATTGGAAGCACAAATCCACGTATATTAGAGCAAAGATCTGTAGCCACCGTTTGAAAAGAAAATGGAGAAATGTTAAAATAATGTGCATTATTAGGGCAGGCTGCACTTCCGATCTTTCAGGGGATAAAACAATGAAGGGTCTTCATTTAGACAGAATGCCTTTAATGAAATGACTTTTCATCCCCTCCCTGAAGTTCAGCAGAAGATATTTTCCTTTTGTGTAGGGAGTACCAGTGCCGCCATCAGAACATATTTCACAAAAATATCAACTGGCCAAGAATATCACACACAGAAACGCGGTGACTGCTTCCTCTTAGAGATAAGAATTTCCTTTTGCTTAATACATTCACAAGGTACCCGACATCCTAAGGCAATTTGGCAAGCTCCAGAAAAACAAACCGAGCCTCAAAAAGACAGTGAGGGGGTTGGCCGAGGGGAGTGGAAGGAGGTGGTGTAGCGACAACCAGGCTGTATTTTTCAGTAATTAAAATAAAGTCTAAAAGAATGGATGAGAACAGGAAGGTTTACTTATGCCTTAATAAGGGAACATTAGTGTCCCACGGCCAGAGCAGACATGATTTATGTGCAATCTGCATGAACTGATTACTTGCAAAATACTCTGTAGTTCTGCAGATATAACAGCTGATATGTACAGAGGCTGCTTATTTAGCTGCTAAAAAGCAGGCTGACTGGCAAAGCAAAAGAGAAATGGACAAGGAGGATTCCGAGTGCTGGGAACAGTTAACCACTATGGCCACCAGAACTACAGAGCCCGAGGCCCAGCAGGTCACTCATTGGCGCGGATTTACCACAGGTGACTACAGGCAAAGCACCATGAGTGATTCAGCTAGTGTGCTCCTTACCCTCAAGGAGTTCAGCCTGTAAGAGAGCAGAGACATTCAGGTTATGACACGAGATGGGAAAATGGCAGGAAGGGGCCTAGGGCAGGTATTTGGTATGTGACTAAGCATGGAGCACAGCAAAGCCAAAGGCATGGAGGCAAGAAAAGACCTCGGGTGTGGGAAAGGGCAAGCTAGAAAGGTAGTGTGGGGTTACAGATGGCAGAGCCAGGGCCACCACTAGCCCATAGGGTGCCTTCATGAGAAAAGAGACCCCCTCCTCTGGGGAGCTTAGTCCTGTCCCAGACACGGCTTCCTGAGTGGAGCGAGAGCTGCAAGGGAAGATCCAAGCCCCTACTTAAGCCCTTGTGAACAATCTTTGTGGACTGGACCTGTCCATCCTCCATCAGTGGGAAAAAGCTAAGCAAAGTAGAATATTTCAAAACTGGCAATGATTAGCTAGCCATAGAGCAAAACATGAAGATAAAGGCCAAGATTTCTCACATAGAATACAAAAAGCTCTAACCACAAAAGACAGTTTTGATCAAGTGGACTATACTGAGATTAAAAACATCTATTCCTGGCTCGGCGCCTATAGCTCAACTGGCTAAGGCGCCAGCCACGTACACCTAAGGTGGCGGGTTCAAATCCCCAGCCCGGACCTGCCAAACAACAATGAT